GGCGCCCCTATGGGCCGGCCGCTTTATTTTCATTTTCCTATGTGCCAAAGTAACCTGCTGTCCCTCTCGATCACAGTTCATGAGTTAGACCTTTAAAACAGGTGTTGCCAACTGGACCATACCATGTTCTACATGGGCATGGGTGACCATCATTTCTTAGAATTGTTTAGGGCTTTAATTGTTTAAAATAGTAGCATATGACTTCTTTACTGTATTGTGTTTATTTATTTTAAGATACTTTTGAATACATTTGTAGTTATTTAGAGTTCTATTAATTAAATAGTAAATAAATAGTTAGTTGGCCTATGGGGAGGGGCTTATCATAAGCCTCTGACCAGTGGCCACTGATGTTTTGGGGGAATCTGACGTTGGCTGTAGAGCAGAGAGGTATCTGTGAAAAATGTTATGAACACTGTATATATGTTTATTTTTACCTTTCTATTTTTGGACTGGACGTCCGTGTAATTTCACTTTTTCACCCTTTTTTTGTAAATAAAAGCACTTAAAAATATATGTTTCTGCGACTCAGGCCATCTTATAAATATTCTTAGTTATTTCACCCACACTTTTTGTAACAGAGGACATCGGACATAAAACATATTTCGGAAAAACATTTCCAAATCCATAAAATCATTTATTTCTTTTTTTTAAACTTTTTTGTTTGTTTCGCCAATTGCTGTTTATCTTTGTTTTACAGTACTGTATAGCACAGTAGACATAACATTTCGGATTTTCAGACTCTTGACTGGAACAACATTTGAAGAAGTCACATTGGGCCTTCTTTTTGCCACAATGTTACCAAACAATTGGAACAACTAGCATATTTATCATTATCATTTAATCAAATAGTATTAGCAGCCCTAAATAAAGGGCATCATATCGCTCCAATGGAAAACAACAAAATAGAAATGTAATTAGAAATGAATATTAAAAAAGAATTGCAATCTACAAACAATATAACAAATATTTTGTTCTATTTTGTATTTTTCCAGGAATGGAAAACTGCAAGAGAAAATATAGATTTCATGATTGTGTGAGTTTAGGGAGGTAAGAGACAGTACATGCTGATGCGGACAGAAACTAATCAGTCAAAATATGTCCTAAAGAATTTGTGACTACTTTAAACTCAAGTTAAAATAAGCCATCTTTGATATTATCAAAACAAGACGGTAAAAATCTGAATGATAATTTGAGTAGGATGAGACTCTCACGATGAAAGCTGGACCTGCTGAGACCCTCTTGGAGGTCTGGATCTCCTGCAGGGAGATCTCGCAGGCCTCGTGGTCTCCGGACGGAACGCTTCGAATTCCCCAACGCAGATCCACTACCTGAACAGGAAGTGACCTCGGTGAAAAAGGAGCAGGTATTTACTGAAACTACATACATTATATATATCATATTATCAGTTACTGGATTTCTGGAAACGGACCTCAAACACTAGTCCAAGACTGCGACAGAAAGCAAGGACTTCTGGGTAAGCTTTCTCCAGCAGGGCTTTCCTCTCGATGCTCATATCTGACCGGAGAAATGTATTGTTAAGTCCGGTGATTTTGAAAGAATATCCGATCCGATATGATTCATTGAAAAATAATTAATCATGACATGGTTTTCTAAGGAACAAACAAAGAGTCTGTAGCCGTGACATCTCTGAGGCAACATGAATAATACATCCAGACTTGTATTTTGACATGTTTTGCCTTTAACAAAGGATTTCTATATTGCACTAGTAAAAGTTAATTGTAATGTAGGGAGCATAAACATGAGTTAATGAACTCTGACCTGTGAATGTGGAGCTGATGAACACTCGGACCATGTTGGAGTTGCTTCTGTTCCTCTGAGCTCCGTCTGAGCGTCCTCTCAGGGCGTCCTGCAGGCTGACGAGTCCTGCTGCTCCTGGACTTTCTGCCATCGTCTGTCTTCTTCTCCACACTGCTCCGGGTGCCTTACCTCCCTTATAGCTGATTTGTAGTCTGTTTGTATCCCTCAGAGTTCCTCCATGACAACCACTTCTCCCTCCTGACTGCTGCTTGTACAGCAGTCTACAGTTCCCATTGGCTGTGCTATACATTGGAGGAAATAAGATCCCTTGACGATTTTGTAAGTTTACCCACTTACAAAGAAATGAACATTCTATCATTTTAATGGTAAGTTTATTTGACTAATAAGAGACAGAATATCAAAGAAAATCCAGAGAAATACATTATATAAAAGATTAAAAAAATAAGTGTGAAATAAGAATTTGATCCCCTTGCAACCAACAACAATTCTGGCTCCCACAGACCGGTTACATAAGTCCTCTTCCTTTAAGAAAGTACTCCTAATATGTATAAAAGACACCTGTCCACAGAATCAACCAATCAGATTCCAACCTCTCCACCATGGGCAAGACTAAAGAGCTGCCTAAGGACCTCAGGGACCAGACTGTAGACCTGCACCAGGCTGGGATTGGCTACAAGACCATCAGAGAGCAGCTTGGAGAGAAGGAGACTGTTGGTGAGATTATTCAGAAATGGAAGAAAGACAACATGAGCATCAGTCGCCCTGGTCTGGGGCTCCACACAAGATCTCGCCCCGTGGGGTATTGATGATCAGGAGAAAGGTGAGGGATCAGCCCAGAACTACACAGGAGGAACTTGTTAATGATCTCAAGGCAGCTGGGACCACAGTCACCAAGAAAACTATTGGGAACGCACTACACCATAATGGATCAAATCCTGCAGCACCTGAAGGCCCCCCTGCTGGAGAAGGCTCATGAAGGGCCCGTCTGAAATTTGACAATGAACATCTGAATAATAATGTCAATTTCTGGATTTCCGAAGATTTGCTGATAGA